TTGTCTTTACAATTTAAAATTAAACAACTATAGATCTGTTTTTTCAATTATCCTCTACTCATTATTCATTATAACTCATTATAACTTAATAGGCTCTACCAATTACAATGAGTTCTTTAATTTTAAGTTTAGTTTTGAGCATTTCTTGTACTTTTTCCTCACTTTCGTCCCCAAAATTATTATCACTCTTTTTGATTCTAAAAAATTTCCAATATTTTCTTTTGCTTTTATCCTCTATTCTCTCTTTCATATTGCAATTTTCATTTTCAAATAACTTATAATGACAGTAGATCAATTTGGATTCTTCTTTTTTTAATTGTAGTGTTTTTACTAATTTTATTGTAGTTTTTAATAAATTTGAAAGGTTTTTTCATTAAAATTAAATAAAAAAGATAGGGATCGTCCATAAATTGCACAATGTTAAACTTCAATAATAAACAAATCAAAGAAAGATCATAAGTTCTCCCTTGCAGAATTTTTATTTGAACCAAATAGAAATAATTTTCAGGCTTTAAAATGGGCCTCTTGTTGCCTGGCTTTTTTCCCTCCGATCCCGCAGCTGCATGCTCTGCGGGCCCATAGTTTCGCTAATGAGGCCATTAGTTTAAAAGGTAACAAATTGCTAAGTTGGCTCAAAGAATTTCTTCTGAAAGATTTCTTGCTGATGAAAACTACTCTAAAGGGATAAAAATTCAGAGTGAGGTACTAGATGGTTTCGTTCTTGAATCATTACTATTTATAGTGCACATGTGATTTGCCAGATATTGTAAAATGTTCACTCAAGCTACATGCTATCAAAACCAAACTAATAAATACGAAAAAAAAATTAAACTGACATTGAACAACCACAGGTTTTGATGTTGTGGCTTAGTTCTATACAAGGAAATAAGTAGAACATGTAAAGTAAATAATATGTAAAGTAAATAATAAGAACATAATCAGTTCGATATATGGATACATTTGATACAAGCTATTTGCTGTCAAACTAATAAATACTAGACTAATACCTAACTAATAAAGACTAGAAAAAAATTCAATTTGATACTAAACAACCATAGATAGGTCTTGATGTTGTGGCTTATCAACTCAATACATGGAAAATGGAATTCAAATAAATTGGAATTCAAAGTGTTGACAATTTAAAAGTCATTCAAAACAATAAACCATGATTAAAAATTTAGCTTTTAAAGTCTCTCTCTTGGTTGGCTAAAAAAATTAGCCAACCAAGAGAGAGACCTTTAGAGTAGCGATTTAAAATCGTCAGCCCAATCAAAATGTGCAACTGTTAAAAATAGTGCAGCACCAGTTTCACTTAAGAGAACGTTTAGATATTGGAACCCTTTAATGCTTTAAACACTTTATATCACGTTTGCGAGGCCTCACTTTAAGCATGGCTTACCCGCATGGACTGCTGTCAACACTGCTTATGTAAAAATAATTTAGCAAGTACAAATAAAAGCCGACAAACTATACTTTAAATGGGCATTTGAAATTCAGTACTTTGAGGAAAAGCTCTAATTTTAGATCCCAAATCGACCCACCAAACAAGTCTAGATGTCAATTTTCATAGACCAATTGGGGCAATTAGAAGAAATAAAGAATGACTTATCAAACAGATTACGTATTACTCATGTCAAAGAGTATACTTTTTTCTTAAAAAGAGTGGTTGAAAATTGAAACATACTTTCCGATACAGTAAAAATCTCAAAACAAGTTGTTCCTTTAAAAACGGTTAAGATGTCTAATTGAAAACAGTATGAAACTTTAGCTGTTAAAGTTATATAAATAAATAAGCAAATTTTGGTAAATAAAAAAATTTATTTACCAGAGTTTTAATTGTAAATTAAATCTTTTGAAAATGTAGTAAGACTACGAAACATGTCAAGAATAAAAAATATTGTGATTTTTATTAAAATTTTTACAAATTTATTGCTAATGCGATGTTCGCAATATATATATATATATATATATATATATATATATATATATATATATATATATATATATATATATATATATATATATATATATATATATATATATATATATATATATATATATATATATATATAATTTATATATATAAACTAATTTAAAACATCAGATAATACGAATTCTCTCAATACTAAATAATTTATTTGAAATTTTCGCCGGATTATAGGCACCGGCATCATCAGCATATAATATAATATAATTACAAAAACTGTGACCGTTAAAATAACAAAAAAAAATTTTAAAATTTTGACGTCACCTCTATAATGGCTTCTTTTACCTAAGTATGAAGTTTTTAAATAATATCTCTAAATAATATCTCCCAGACTTAGAAGAATATTCAGAAAAGCTTGTTACAGAAATGTTTTTAAATCAAATGCTAACCTAAAAACGTTATTAACGTCTAAAAATAAGTCTAAATTACCATGCAACAGCATCCCAGGAACCTATTTAATTAAGTGCAAATGCTCCATAGTATATGTTGGTGAAACAAAACTTCAAATACGAACAAGGGTTCAACAACACCAAAAATTTTTGACTGAAGGCAAGTTAAACCAGTCTGCATTAGCTTTGCATAAAGTAAATTGTAATTAGGACATTGAATGGAATAAAGTAATAACACTTAAAGTTGAGGATAAAAAATTTGAAAGAAAAGTCCGTGAGGCCTTAGAGATACAAAAACATCAATGTTTTTGTATCTCTAAAAACGAAAATTTCAAATATATTATTTAGTATTGAGAGAATTCGTATTATCTGATGTTTTAAATTAGTTTATATATATAAATTATATATATATATATATATATATATATATATATATATATATATATATATATATATATATATATATATATATATATATATATATATATATATATATATATATATATATATATATATATATATATATATATATACCCAGCTAACAATAAACATTCACAAAACCTTGCCACAACGTTCATAAAGTTTCGCGTAATGTTCGCTGCAAAAGTTACGTGAGCCTACTTTTGTGAACTCTGATTTACACTTCTTAAACACTTATTATAAACGTTCAAATAAGAAACAGCAAACGTTTTTTTTAACGTTCACTGCAAATGTTATTTTGATAGCTCTTAAACGTTCACCTCAAACACGCAATAACAAACACGGAAATTTACACAACGTTTTCTTTTTTTTTTCAATTTTTTAACTAAACGCATAAATGTATAGGTTTACACGGAGTTTCTGTTTAAACCTACATTTTTTTGAAACATATTTTTTTGAAATATAATGCTTTTTTGATCTTACATAAGCCCTTTTTTGATCTTACATTAACCCTAACCCTTAATTTTTTTTAACAGTTAGTTTTTAACGCAGTTCATTAATGAACTGCGTTAAAAACTAACTGTTAAAAAAAATTAAGGGTTAGGGTTAATGTAAGATCAAAAAAGGGCTTATGCATTCTTTATAGATATAGTAGTTCCATGATTTTAAACATGTTAGAAGCCGTTGTGTGCTCTTAAAATCAATAAAAAATGAATTCTAAGGTAGTTTAGTTTAATACTTTATATTTAATTTTCTTTATTTTATTTACTAATTTCAACTTTCAATTAAATAAAGAATAACGCTTATCTTACCTCCAATAATGAAACGAAAATAAATTTTTTCTAATTTCTGAAAAAGAAAATCTCAAGTAATCTTGTTTATCAATAACAAACTTGATTGAAACAGGTTCAGTTTGAAGAAACTGCCTGTCAGCAGTCATTGTGATGTTTAAATAGCATTTTAATAAAATTAAAAAACATTGTGGAAAAATAAAATAACAAAAATTATTGTTGTTTTTCTCGTGAGTTAATGTAAATAAGATTATTTTTGAAAAGTTTTTACTGGTAACCATCATCAAGTGGTACTTTAAAAAGAAAAAAAAAATCTAACGCCTCAATTTTGTCTATAATAATCAAATAATGTACATTTTATGAGTAAGATAAAAAAGGCGGCAAAAAAATTTGTGATACCCCAGGCATTTTTTTACTGCTTAAGGTTTTACTTTTTAAATATTTTCATCATTTGCAATATCTCATTAAATGTGGTAGTTGCAATACCTCATTAAATGTGGTGGTTGAAAAAATTTCAATTACTCCTTAACTCTCAAAGTTAAAACTCTATTACTCATTTTATTCCTTTATGCTGTTGAATATTTTTATTCTTGTTTTGACCTAAAAGATCCATTAAATAAATTGGGTGCGAATCCGGGTAGGGCACGTTGATATCCAATTCAATTCCGCTAATAATCATTTGTAAAAACAAGAAGTTTATAAAAAAAAATTTCCCTAAAGTTTAGAGGCAATAAAAGGGGACGTTTAGACGTTGTTATTGATAATTATTTAGACGTTGTTATCTATAATTATTTAGACGTTGTTGTCGATAATTATTTAGGCGTTGTTATGGATAATTGTTCTCATTTAAAAGTATTTTTTCTCATTATAAAACGCGAATAGATATCAAAAAAATTTTCCGCTTAGATTTTTAATTGAAATAAACCACCTTAACTGGATAGATAATAATATTTTTGTGATGAATTGTATACAATTTAATATTTTAGTGAAAAAGTATTATTTTTTTAGAAGTTAAGAACTATTTGTTTTTTCTGCGATAAAATCTAACAGTTTTTTTAGTATCTTGGTTCTTTTCATATAATTATAGTCGTAATAATAAATTCTAATATATCATTAAAATTCAAGTGATATATTTTAGATTAATGAAAAACAAAAAATTTAAGATACAAAAAAAAAATTATATGGATATAAATAAAAAATGTAATAATTTAATGTATGATCGAATTTAAAGTTTTAAAGGAGTAGGAAATTCTATTAAAAAAAAAGCATTTTATAACTTATTTTTATATGAAACCTCAATCGTTTCAAAAAGTATATAATCAAATTAAATGTAATATTAATGCAACGATTATCTGATATCAAGGTAAATGTGCATTTATCTGAATCTGAATTGATTTATTTATGATTCACAACTTTCAAATAAATTATTTTATTATAATATTGACTAACGGTGTCTAAATTGAATCTAGAATACATAACACATCTCTAAACATTTATAAAATTTTCTCGTAAGCGTGTTATTATATTATTTCATATAGAATACTTTTTCTAGAATATTCTTTGATGGTAAGGTATATGAAAGAAAAGGCATTTTCCCTTACATTACAAAAAATATTGTTTTTTTTTTTTTTTCCTATTAACTGCAGTTTAGACAAAACGTTTTTTCAATGTCGGTAGAAGTCTGTTTACAAACAGTCAAGTTGGTTTCTAAAGAATCAAGAACATCTACACTTGATAAATGTGCTATTTCATCTGGTTCTGAGACAAATTTATCATATAATTCATTAACTTTTGATGATTTTCGACTAGATCCTCCAGTTTCTCCACGCGAGCCAGTACTCGCTCGACGTTCTCGTTCTTCATTGAACTTTTTTTGTATTTCTTCAGTGAGACGTTTATCGAATTCGAGACTCAATTTGCGATTCATTTCTGAATTTAGCTGTCGTTCATAGTCCGCGCTAAATTTTGTTGAATGTTTTTCTTGTTCTTTTTGTTTGTCTAACTCCATTTTTTGACCCATTTCAACATAGTAGTCAAAAGCCTTTTTAATCGGCTTCAGCAAATAATCCTTGATATAAAAAAAATATGAACCATTAGAATCATCATCAAATGAACAGAACACAATCTCAAGAGAGAGAAATCTCAAAAGAGATTGGTAACTATACTACCTCAAAGATCGGAAATAACTCTGCCATTGCTTCGTACAAAGGAATAAGAATAAATTTTATGAAACCAATTTGTGCGGAAGATTTTGTTACTTTATCTCGGTCCATAAAAGCTGATGTAGGCAACCCTTCAAGCTTTTCAAGATCGCTCTGAAAATGGAAAAAAAAAATACAAAAGGATGTCAATGTTTGCTTTAACTAAACCTTTACCGAGTATTCATAAAATAACAAGAATTTTTTACTTGGTTAAAAAATTCTTGAAGCAAACATTCAAGCCATGGTTCTGCAATGTCCATAGGACGCGTTTCATTTGAAACATCGGCAGCTTTTATAAACGTTTTTAACATCTGAAATTTTAATAACCATTATAGATAAGAATATTAAAATTATATATTAAACTTTTCGAATGTAAATATAAAAATTATGCATACTGATTTACGATGATCTTCAGACAACCAATCAAAACCATTCTCTATAATCAATTTAAATTCCTTTAATAGTTCATTGTGAAGTGCCATATCAGTAGCTAGAATTAAACTAAAATAAAAATATTGTATAAATTCTATAAAACATCTCAAAATGCAGAAAATATTATAAGTTTTTACAATTTTAAATGAAGCTGTTGATTATCAAGACTTTCCCTATTTATGGTCCAATAAGACAACATATACTGGCTATTTTGTTAATTAAGACCGGCTTTTAAGACTGGCTTTTTTTGTTTTTTAACCTGGGAGGCAACATAAAAATAGGTACTTTCTTTTAGATCGGCTTACAAACCAACATGCTATACAAAGACCTAGTTTAAGCCCCAAGCAGACCTTAAGCAATCTTTTATCATTTGACCAAAATAATATTTTGTCAGGGAAATAAAACTAAAAGTATTTCGACAAACAATTCTTATCTATAAAACACATCAGAAAAGACAGAAAATGAATAAAAGAAAAAAATAGTTGGGGTTAACTGTTTTACGATCTAGAATTGGTAAAAAATTATGCAAAATTGAAGAAGAAAATTTTTTTTAAAACTTTAGTTTGATAAAGAGATGTAACATTAGCAGATGCTAATTTTGCAACAGATTTGAAAAATGGTTTCCAAGAAAGATTGGAAGTAAGAGTTAATCCTAGAAGATGAAGGGTAGATGACTCATCAAGTAGATTACCGTTCATAAATATAGGAAGGTCTAAATTATTGCGATAACGATTAGCTGAAAAAAATTGAGTTTTATCTGAATTAAAGTTCACCAGCCACTGTGATCCTGTTATAGCGGAAATGAGATCTTTTTCAAGCTTAAATGCCCCTTTCAAGTAATCAGAGTGTAGGATTCTTATCCTGACAAGAATAAATGGTACTATTATCAGCAAACAATGCCACCTTAGATGTGAGAATATCTGGAAGATTGTTAATGTAAATTAAAAAGAGTATAAGGCCAATGATTGAACCTTGAGGAACCCCTGAGGTTACAGAATTATAGTTAGAATTGAGGTTATAAGAAGAAGAGTTTTGTCCATCAAGAATAACTTTTATGCTACGATTGGAAAGAAAAGATTCAATAATCTTAAAGATATTGCCAGATACATCGTAAGAGGAAAGCTTATGGAGAAGATCAGCATGTTAAACTTTATCAAAAGCTTTTGAAATGTCAAGAGCGATAGCCTTAACCTCTCCACCTTCATCTAATGTGCGATAAAACCTATCGGTTATTACTGTTAGCCAATCAGCTGTAGAACCAGAAGATCGAAATCCATATTGATGATCAGAAAGTAAGTTATTAGATTCAAGATGAGAGATTAAGTGTTTGTTAATTAAAGATTCAAAAACTTTGCTTATGATAGGAAGAAGACTAATGGGATGGTAGCTAGACGAATCAGATCACTCTCCGGAATTTTTGAAAATAGGGATAACAGATGCTGCTTTCCTTGTTGAATAGTTTTGAGAGCATAGACGAGGTATGTTGTGCTAGCCACAAGATGTAGAAGAGTCTAAGCAGGAAATCACTTTAGATACAGAAGCTGGAGTGATACATATGTCAAGCAATGGATCAACCTGTTTGACAGCTATATCAGGTAGAATGCAACTAGTGGAATCAAGAGATGCTATTGATGAAAAGTTCTTAGCAAACAATTCAGCTTTGTCTTTAGGTGAGGTGACAAAGTGTAAACCATACAAAAGAGGTGGAATTACAGACTTACCCTAATTGTTGATACTATTAAAGATTCTCCAGAAGTCACGAGAGCCTAATTTTTGTGATGAAATACAAGATTTCATGACCTGAGAATAGTCGACTTTGGCGTTAGACATAACCTTTTTACAATAGTTTCTAGCAGTAATTAACAGACGTCTGTTTTCTGAAGAATTGTTTTGCTGATAGATATGGAAGTAATGGTTTCGATTAGCAATTGCAGCAGCACAATGTGAGGAAAACCATGGAGAAGGGTGAGGCTTGACCTGAAATTGTCGAGAGGGAATAAAAGATTCCATGTCAGCCTAAATCGACAAAGTTATGTAAGAAGCACATTTAACAACAGGAAGACAAAAGATTTCTACCCAAGGGCCATCACAAAGAAAATCACGGAAAGAGTCCCAGTCAGCTTTAAGGTAGTTGTAAGATGTACGATGATAGGGGGATTCTGATGGTAAAGAAGAATGAGATAATAATTTTAGAGAGACCAAACCATGATCAGAAGCACCTAAGGGTAAGTGTGGAGAAACTTAGCACTGACTAGGATCAGAAACAAGACATAGGTCGAGTAGAGAAGGTAAATGATTCGGGTTGTCTGGAAAGCGAGTTGGAAAGTTGACTATTTGAGTTAGGGATTCAGAAAGACAAAAGCTGTGGGCTTTAATGTCAGCAGAATCACTGACACTAGAATTAAGCCATTCAGTGTCATGAGCATTAAAGTCACCGACAACAACAATCTTGACTAATGGATAAAGAGATAGGGCTTGGTCAATATGATCAGAAATAACATCAAGAAGAGTACAGTCTTGAGATGAAGGAGAGCGATATAGAACAAAGAGAAAGGTGATAGAGTGAAGTGGTGCTAAACAAAAGCACATAAAAGAACAGTCTGTTGATTCAAACTTAGTTTCCCGACAAATGGGTGAATTCTTACAAATGTAAATGCCCTGGCCAAGCATGTGACTATTGGAGTCTTTACAAATTAAAGGACGATAACCATTAACACTGAGATCACAAGATGAGACAGCTGAACTCAAATTAGTCTTACAAAGAGCAAGTAGGTCTGGTGAACTTTGCAAGATATAAGACTCAACAGAAGAAAAGTTACTTCAAAAACCACAAATATTAGTTAATGATAGGTTTAGAGAACTTGGTGATGACAATGGTTATTTGTGTTTTATAGTTTTTGGTACTGTATTCATTTTTTAATTTTTTAAAGAACTTGATTCAAAGTATAGATAGTACTCAGTACACTGTTTAACAGTCCAAGCAATTGCCTCATTGCTATTAATAAACCCTAAGCTATAACAAAGGGCTTCTAATGTGGCCTTGGCAATGCACATCAAAAGTACAAACAGGAACACCATTCATGTGCAACATGGCACTGTTAATACTTTGATATTTTTCAGTTGTTTTTCAGATGGAATCAAAGAGGCTGATCTATGAGAGCTACCACCGAGTTTAGGAAACCTGACTACCAGCTGGCCTCAGAACCATAAAACTGAGTTTTAGAGCTGTACCCTCATTAGGAGATAATAGAATGAGTTGCCTAGTCATAAAAACAGAGACAAACAAAACTCATGCATTGAGTCAAGATTATTATTTATAATAATAATCATTTTCAACCTTTTTATAAATATAAAAGTATTATAAATATAAATAAAAACATGTTTAACTGTAATTAAAATGTTATATTATTTGATGGAATTAAATTATATCATATATACCTGCCTTGTGTATGTCATATCTCAAGTAAGATATGCCAATATTACTAAACCTTAGCCAAAAAAAGTCAATCACATAATTCTCAATAAGTAACAAGTTATGAGTTACAAGATATAAAGTAAAATGTTTAATATATGAAAATTAACATGAAAAATACAATTCTTTTCATAACACATGCTTAATGCCTTCTTAAAGCTTCGGTTATGAAATATTTAAACAAAGAAAATGTAAAAATAATTGAAAATATATGAGCGTAAAAATGTAATTACTAAAAATACAAAAAATTCAACTTATAAAAAAAAAAGTGAAACTGTGAATTACTTTACACCACTCATATAGAAATATATAATTTACTTACATTTAAGTAATTTACTTTTACAAGTAAAAGTTATTTGCACTTTTACTTTTACTTGTAAATGTAACTTACTTTTAATGGTAAGTCATTTTGAGTAATTTACTTTGAAAAGTAATTCTGGTTATAACTATGTAAAAAATTTACATCGAAATGTAATTTACTTTTTATATGTAAAAAAAGGTTATTTATGAAGTAAACTTGTGTAAATATATTATTTAAAAAACATAACACTTACTTAACAAAGTAAAATAAAACTACATCATAACAACAAATTACTTTTATGTGTAATAGTAACTAATTAGCAATAACAGCTTACATAAAAGTAATTTGAAAAAAGTGTTATTTAAAATTACAAACAAAAGTAAATTTTTCCTTTGAAATTTTATACTTAACTTTGTAAGAAAGTAAAACGTAACTTATGTATATAGTGTTGATGGTTTCTTCCTTTAATTCGTAAAGACTCCAATAGTCACATGCTTGGCCAGGGCATTTACATTTGTAAGAATTCACCCATTTGTCGGGAAACTAGGTTTGAATCAACAGACTGTTCTTTTATGTGCTTTTGTTTAGCACCACTTCACTCTATCACCTTTCTCTTTGTTCTATATCGCTCTCCTTCATCTCAAGACTGTACTCTTCTTGATGTTATTTCTGATCATATTGACCAAGCCCTATCTCTTTATCCATTAGTCAAGATTGTTGTTGTCAGTGACTTTAATGCTCATGACACTGAATGGCTTAATTCTAGTGTCAGTGATTCTGCTGACATTAAAGCCCACAGCTTTTGTCTTTCTGAATCCCTAACTCAAATAGTCAACTTTCTAACTCACTTTCCAGACAACCGGAATCATTTACCTTCTCTACTCGACCTATGTCTTGTTTCTGATCTTAGTCAGTGCTAAGTTTCTCCACACTCACCCTTAGGTGCTTCTGATCATGGTTTGGTCTCTCTAAAATTATTATCTCATTCTTCTTTACCATCAGAATCCCCCTATCATCGTACATCTTACAACTACCTTAAAGCTGACTGGGACTCTTTCCGTGATTTTCTTTGTGATGGCCCTTGGGTAGAAATTTTTTGTCTTCCTGTTGTTAAATGTGCTACTTACATAACTTTGTCAATTTAGGCTGACATGGAATCTTTTATTCCCTCTCGACAATTTCAGGTCAAGCCTCACCCTTCTCCATGGTTTTCCTCACATTGTGCTGCTGCAATTGCTAATCGAAACCATTACTTCCATATCTATCAGCAAAACAATTCTTCAGAAAACAGACGTC